CGAAAAAAATATAGTATAAACGAATTAATCATGCTTATGAGTATAAGTAGTTGTGAATTGCGAGTTCAGTAGTGTTATTATTATCAAAATGGAATTAGAGTTAAAAAAAAGTTTTTTTTAAAAAAAAATTGGTATATTTAAAATTGGCTAAACTTGATCTAGTTAAATATTTAAATATTATTTTATTACAATATAATATGAGAACGTCCTGAGTACTAATTACGGGAATGATAATATTAGTTTAATAAAGATTTCAAACATAAATATTATGGAGTCTTTTTTAATCTTCTGGATCATGGCCCATGAATTGTATATTATAGTAGTCAATATGGACGGGGCGTTGGGCAGAACATGACAAATAGGTTTTGAACAAAAGTGTTATTACCTTATCGAACATATTTATATTAATCGTTAAATATTTTGATTTAGAATCAATCCGAATTGACAATGATAACCAATCATATAAATTGTTTCCTACGTTAGATAACAAAATACGTAAATAGCGCTGCCAAAGGTTACACAAATTAATGCACAATTTTTTTAACGTGGCATAATCGAATTCGCTGGATCTGTTGTCGGAAAATTTTCTACACGTACTGTACAAAAGGAAACTTGAAATTTCCTGTCTGATCTACATAACGCCTATCATTTTATAAACTTTCACAAATTTTTAGTGTTCTCGACTTACTATCTTTAATCTTAACATGACGTCGCTCTACCAAGGTACTCCTCTATTTTAAAAGTATCGTCATGCTACCTCACATAACATGTAAAGTTATTTATTTATTATTTTTTTTTTATTTTTATTTTTTTTCAACGTTTGCAGAGCAATACTTAACGCCCGTGGGGGCGAGTGACATAAGAAATCGTAAAGCAAGATACAAAGATTTTACTTCCCCTCAGATATATGGCTTAGACGAAAACTTAAAAGAAAAGAAATCCTACAGATCCCTGCTGGAAATATATACTACAGACTCGTATAATCTCATTGGACTTACAATAATTGCTCTCTTTGTAAGGTTATATCAAATATGGTATCCTACTTCCGTAGTGTAAGTCAATGTCATTACAATTTTGATTTTCATTCCATTGATTTCAAATATCAAATCTAATCAAATTTTTATATATTAGATTTGATGAAGTTCATTTTGGCGGTTTTGCAGCGTAAGAATTCAATGTTGACATGTTGATATTTGTTCATTATAAAAATTTTTAAAAACTCACATGACTCATTATTTTTGTTATTTAATAATTTAACTTTAGAAAATATATTAAGGGTAGTTTCTTTATGGATGTGCATCCACCGTTAGCGAAATTGCTCATTACTTTTGCTGGTGTCTTGGGTGGTTTTGATGGAAATTTCGAATTTAAAGAAATTGGCGAGTAAGTTTTTAATATTTACATTTGATTTTATTTGGGTGACGCCAAAGGAAAACCCGACTTCAGGCTTTCAAGTTTATTATTTATTATTTACTAGACTCAGCCCCGATCAGAGACATATATGATACATAAGTAAATTTAATATATGTCACTATCAGGACTGGATCTGGTAAATAATCAATATTAAATTTGAAAGCCCAAAGTCTGGTTTTCCTTTAACATCGCTCATTTATATCATTTTAAATCTCTTTTAAATAATAGCGACTATCTTGGACCTAAAGTTCCGTACGTGATCATGCGTTTATTACCAGGAATTCTGGGAGTTTTAGTAATACCAATTGCTTATCTAACCATTAAATTAGCGGGATTTTCAACGATTGCCGCATTTTTGGTCGCAAATTTAGTATTATTTGGTGAGCTTAAGCAATACTCATTAGAAACTCTTTATATACTAGTCTGGTTGCTAATAGTTTTTCTTTTCTCTAAGAGAATGGTTTGGTAACTCAAAGTAGACTTATATTACTGGATTCACCATTGGTAGCTTTCACAGCATTTACTGTATTAATGTGGGTCAAATTTCAAAATCAAGAAAAAAGGTACTTATTTTTAACGAATGTCGTTATTAACCCTCTAAATTCTATCATGTTAAGATTAATTTAAGATTAATTTAATGATCTATAAAAATAGACCATTTGAATTATGGTGGTGGGTTTGGTTGGCGATGACCGGTGTGGGTCTTGGGCTTACAGTTAGGTATGTTCTGTGACTTTACTTTGTATTATAAAAGTTACTAATAATGCTAATAAAACTTTGTAAATTATTGTTTATTTAAAATTATCAGTGTTAAATGGGTGGGTCTTTTCACAATTGCCTTTATTGGCCTTTCAACTATTA